AAAAGGCGATAATCGAGTCAGATCATATACTCATTTTTTTTTGTAATAACACAGTGCGACAAACAACATATAAGAATGTACAACAAATAACACGTGCAAATCACTAAATGATACCACATTATTTAAAAAAAAACAAAAAAAAAAAACATACAATTTTTAATAATTATATTTATTATATGAAATCGGGGGTCGAAAACTCTCTACCAAATTTCACTACATAGGGTAGGGGGTTCAGGTCACGTGATTTTATCGTGTCGCAACGGTAACTTTTTCTGAAAATCTACCAAGTTTAACTCGTTATTTAGGTATCAAATCTAACCAATATTGCTTAGATTTTTATTTTATTTCAAAGATAAACATTTAAACTTTTGTTTTACGGTAAAATATCGGGTTGTGCGCTATTTATATATTTTAAACCATTTGATTTACTTCACCCGGTGAAACGCAGTTTTACACGCCGCAAGGAAAGCGGACAGAAATTTCGCATCCTTCCAGACGACGGATATCGTATTTAGACTAATCCGCAAGCGTTTATTAAACATAGAATGAAAATCGACCAATCAGATGAAAGGTTACATTCAGACGAGTCCATTGTAGTTTGATACATAGTTCTAGGTCATCTAGAACAATTTCTACCGACGAAACATTGAAAATTCTCACGATATTTGCTGGAAATAAGGTATTTTAAAATATATATCGCTCATTTTTATGAAATTTAGTTCTTAAAGTATTGAATTCATCCGGTTATTTAACTCGTCCAGCAATATTGACACGCGGATTTTAACCTTTTCAGGGTCACTGATTTCGGCGGAAGTTGTATCCGAAAGCGCTGACTATCCGAAATTGTGCGACGGAAAATGTCAACAACTGTATTAGGTTAGTTTTTTTCGTATTATTTTATGTATGTTCTTAAAAACTGTTTATTTTTTAGTATTTATTTATTAATTATATATTTATTAATCGTTTATGATATTGGTGTATAATTCTTTAGACCATTTGTTTATTTAAATGTCAAAATTCATCTGAAATTTAACTTTTTTTTTGGAAAAAAAGTGCTTTACTCATTTATTAAAATGGAAACAATTTTAATGAAATATATAAGTAGCAGTTTAAATTTAAACATAATCATTTTGCTCATATATTAACATAGAATGCGTTGCTTTGTGGTTTATATTACTTTTTTCAGGGGAGGGGTGTTTACATTTCTGCAGTGCAGACAATTTTAGATGTGATTTTTACACGCTGCTGGTCAGCCTGATCATACATACATTCACCGCTGCATGACAGTAGATAAGTATTTCTTTTGCTGCTGTGCAGCATGCTGAAATACATTTCTTTGTTGATTGTGAGTGGGGATTGTAAGTATAATTTTCTTATATTTTCCTTTCCTTTCTATAGATACAGATGTGTTCCCTACAAACGCAGATATGCTACGCCTGTTTGAAAAATCAAATGGAGCCAATGATACAGCTACAAATCTGCAGAAGTCAATATTGGTTGAGTTTCCAAAATCCCCAGCTGCTAGTTGTGAACCATTAAGTATACTTACAAAAGTCAAGCGTGTAAATGATAAACATAAGAAATTTCGTAAAAACAAAAAAAGTGAACAAGATGAAAAATTTCTTAGTATGGTATTTGAATTTCCTCTGAAAAAAGATATATCTGACAGTGATAACTTAACTATTGATAATACTGAAATAAGAGAAAATATAAAAATAATTCAAGAAAAAACAATACAGATTGTCAAAGAAAATAGACAATTGAAAAGAAATGCAGAAACGTCAGAAAAAATCAATGAGAATCTTTCTTTCCAAGCGGCAAACAGTGAAAGAAAATTAAGTTTGCTTCAAAATTTATTAGAAATAACTCTAGAAAAATATAGTAGGGCTATTGAATACAAGAAAACAAGCTATGCTCTTGAAGAAGATGTAACACAGTGGGAAAATAAGTATGATGATTTAAGTAAACAATTTGATTCGACTGCTAAAGAACTTAGTGAGTTAAAACAAAAAATCAACAGCCAGTGTACAAGGAACTTGAACAAAAAAATCAAAAGAAGAGATGAGGCAATTGAAAGAGAGAAAGAAAATGTGAAAGAAAAAATAATTGAGTTGAGAGAAAGAAATTGTGAGCTAGATGGTATGAAAAATAAGAATGAGAGTTTAGTTAAAGAAGTGGAAAATCTGAAACGAGAAAAAAGAAATATGTATTCTAAGATTTTAAGAGCTAAACAAAAACAAAGTTCTAATGATTCAATGTATGATCTATCTGAAAATATTTTTTTAGAAATTCAAAGTTTGAAATCAGAAATAGAACAAAAGAATGCTAGAATCAATATGCTTATTGACACAAATAACTTCCTTACTGATGGGGTTATTGATACGTACTATGAAGGTAAGTACAAGAATGAGGTACGACAGACAATTATGACCTTAGTAACTGAATGTGGCGTAAGCCAGAGTAAAGTTAACAAAGTAATGGAAGTTGTGGTAAAAAATCTAACTGGTATGACTTTGTCACGCCTACCAAGTACTGGGGTAAAATCTAGGCTCGTTCTTGAGGCAAAAATGGTGGCTAATCGACAGATAGCTGAAGCCATGCTAAATGATAATGCTTCATTTACATTACACCAAGACGGCACATCTAAGCACCACCACCATTATCAGTCATACCAAATAACAGGAGCAGATGGTTCTACTATGTCCATCGGTATGCATGAGGTTAGCAGAGGTAATGCAGACACAATATTTCAAACATTCACAACAATATTATCTGATTTAGCTGAGACAATCAAAAATAGTGACAAAAGGCATAATATGGGTAAAATCATTTCAAATATCATAGCAACCATGTCTGACCAAGCAGCAACCAATCATGTATTTAATGAAAAACTTCAGAAATTTAGGGAAGATTTCCTACCTATCGCTTATGATAATTGGGAGCAAATGGATCTATCTAGCAAAGAAGAATTAGGTAAGCTTTTCGCTTTTTTCTGTAAAATGCATATATTTGTCAATATGGCCAATGAAGTGGATTCTTCTCTATCACAGCTAGAAAAGGCAATTATAGCTGAAGGTCGAAACCCACATGCCTTTTCTAGCAAAAGTGAAAGTGGCACTGTCAGGTTAATTCGAACAGTTAGTAAAGATTTGACAGAGGGTGGGTGTGAGCGGTCAGGCGTAGGTGGTCATTTTTCAACATATCTTCGAAACAAAGAGGTAAAAAAACCACTTAGAAACATTCAGGGGCCATAGATTTAATCATCTTTTCCATGCTGCCGCCACAACATATTACCATTTGGATGATATCCGTGACTTTTTGGACAGTTTTTCAGATCACAATGAATTAACACTGAGTGTTATGTTTGATGTCCGTGAACCGCTTTATGTTGCATGTGTAAGGGCCCTGGGACTCATTGACAAGGTCATCACTGGTCCGCTTTGGCGTGTAATTGAAGCAGCACCAAACTGCCTTTCATTAAATACACATTTGCTTCAACTCAAGATAGCTCTTGAAAACTGGTCAAAAGACGCAGCGCCATTTCTCGAGGGCGAGTGTGTATTTGAAGAAATGGTAGCCCCTATAACACGTGATTGTGTTAATGATGCTTTATTCACACCAACAGATGACCCAGTCATTGAGACATACACACAGATGGCCTTAGAGGTGAGTTTTGGGGCAATGTTAATAATACTTGAGCGCCAGGCCAAAGATCAGTTACCCGGTGGTAAGTATTGGCATTTGGACCAGACTACAACTGAACATCTGGCAAATGTTCCAACAACAAACACCGTGTCTGAACGAGATTTTGCACAGCTTGATATACTGATGAAGGCTAAACCGGCAGCTGCTGCATGTACATATGAATCTATAATTTTGTGGACAAACAACAAAACAAGTAAGTGGTTAGATTCTCTTGAAGATGATGTCCGTGCAGACATATTAGATCAAGCCAGAACAAATGCACCATGTTTGCGAAAAAAAATACAAGAACGCCAGTTTAAACTTTTTCAGGCAAAGGTACAAGTTTTGAAAGAAAAGCAAGAGAAAAAGGAAAAAAAAGCTGAAAAAGCATACATAAATAAGGTTATGTTAACAAAAGAACTTGAAGACTTAGGTGGCTTGTGGATGACTTCAGATGATATGATGAATTTTAAACAGAAATGTTTGTCGTCATGTGATAAAATTGACACTGTCCGATACAATAAAGCTGTAGTCACTCAAATTCTGTTTCGCAAAAATGTGCTCAACTGTAAAGGTCCTAGACAAATTTTTCAAACAACCCAAATCAAAGGTAAGCATTTGACAATATCAGATCTTGAAGAAAATCTTAAACAAATTATGGTTCTGAATGCTGATTTTGAAGAAGGCAATGCTATTGAGAAAAAATTGACATACAAAGATCCTGATCAGGTAAAATCTAGTGTTGTATCCTTAAAAGAAAATCTTTTTTCCAAAATAGAAACTGGCAGAAAAAAAATAATTGTTCAACAGCAGAAGGATCTTCTCCCAACATTTTTGGAAAATCCAGAAAACATGGTAGGTAAAAATATTAAGCATAAACTGAAGGATCCTGAGACAGGAGTTGTTGAGTGGAGTAAAGGTAAGGTTGTTGAAATTTTCAAACCACATCAGAATCCAACCAAAGTTGAATATAATATTTGTTATGACGAATACCCAGATGAGTTGTGGCATTTTAACATAATAAAAGACATGCAAAATGGTGATTTGATTCTATGTTAATAGGTCAAAATATTACCAGGTTTACTGACATGATCCCTGGGTGCTGTAGTTTTCATTGATGATTGTTACTATGGTAACCATTTTTACATAACTTTTCAAAACATAAATCTTTATTCATAATACTACAATAATTGAAACAGTAAACATACTATGTTATGAGTATTGTTATCAGTAAATTTTGACATTATATGTAATGGTATATAATATAATCAGACAAAGGCGCAACTTTCGTATATTGAAATGGTTGCCATGAAAATGGTATCTATGGTATATTTCATAATTTCCTTTTGCATTTCATTTTCTTAATTTATAGATTTATCATGCAAATTATCTTGATTTTACTATTAAACAATGGATTGACATCAAAATTATACTTGCTTCACTGTTTCTAGTATTTTTATTTTAAGTGCACACTTTAATTTCACATATTTTTTCATGATGATTGTAACCATGGTAACCATTTCTGATTAACTTCTAAAAACATACATCTCTAATTATAAAACTTTAATAATTAAAGAATGTAGAGTAGAGTTTAGATTCTATTTTTAGAATTTGAGTAAACTGACACTTGATGGAAAATTGTTTCATAACATTGACATAAGCTGCTACCATTATTTCCTGAAATAGTTGCCATGGAAATTGTTAATTTCCCATAATCTGATGTAGATGTTTCAAGAATATATTGTTATATTTATATTCCTTGTGTAAATGACAAATAAAACATAGAAACATCTACTGTTTTTTACTAATCATAATTTATATATTGTTGATAATCTATTTTATTAAATATATTGCGGCCATTTTGTCGGCCATTTTGAATTCAAAATGGCTGCCAAGATACAAATTTCTAAAAATAGAATACACAGAATTATTCTGGAGCAGTTAACCTTCAAGAATATACATAGTTTATGGGTATTTTACTCAAGATATTCTGTTAATATAAAAATGCCTGAAATTTGCACTCTTCTCATAAAAACGGTGCCATTACAGCAAATGTAATATATAATGGAAAAATAACACAAAATTTACAATATTTTCCGATATACAAATTGTCATTTTACAAAAAGTATTAGACCTAGAGATGAGATCTATAGCTTATTTTGAAGGTAATTTTAAACCCTAGAAGATGAAAAGGTTTTCAAATCTATAACTGTTGCTATAAAAAATGACCTGAACCCCCTACATAGGGATCGAAAACTCTCGTCAAATTCCTAGGGGTCGAAAACTCCTGATACCAATAGAAAGGTCAACATACTTATCAAAACAATAACCTGGGAGGGGGAGAAAAGACCGTCTGCCGGTCTACCCTGCTGGTCAACTCGAATTAGTCTTGATCAATTGCAATTTTGGATTCGTCCCGATATCGATTCGCACCTCTTCTAAATGAAATTCTTCTGCGTTTGATAATTGTATATATATTATTATGTGTCCAGTGGATTTAAATCGTTTGGACATGAAGATCTTGTGCTTTGACAAAATTTCTTGTCAATGTTTTGGTGGATGGGGCATTTTTGTTGCCTTCCTTCAATCCTTTTTTTTTGCATAGGGGCCTTTTAATTTCTAGCTCCAGTCCTGTGGAAATACATATTTCTTTAAATAATAGCATGAATAAAGATTAAGTTGTCAACTTTTATACAGACATGGAAATGGTTTGTTTTAACACTTGCTAAGAATTAAATGTTTTATCAACTTTTAATAGCAAGATATTTTACATATTAATAGAACAAAGCAGCATGATGTAAACACTGTTTAAACATTCAAAATTGTTTTTCTTTGATATTTATAAAAAAAAATAGGGCTATAACAAAAAGACAAAACTTGTGTCGCAAGATTGTATATCAGTTACCTCTGTATCCAGATTCTGTATCGAATAGTTAATGTGTATAAATCTTTTAAGAATGTTTTGGTTCAATTTTTAATTGCAGCAAACAGAAAATTCCTCTTCCAACAGGCAAAGTTGCCTCCAAAATATTCCTATGAGTTGGCAAAAAGACAGAGAGCAAGTAGTAGTAAGTAATAAAATGAATAACATTTGTATACATACTTGTTTACTGGTACGTTTTGAAGCATCATATATTCTTCTGGTAAGCTCAGAGGATGCAGTCTTTATAATTGGTAAACCACACATTAAACTGGCAAGATGGTGATGAAGCAGGAGTGGCAAAACACCAATATTGCTTACTCGTGTCCGACTTGCAAAAAATCTACTTGTCCATTTGAACTTGATAGTGTCCTTGAAAGGCTACGGCAATTTATTTTTCGGTGCTTCTGTGGCATCCATACATAGACAGTAAAGAAAATGACCACTTTTTCTTACAAAGGACTCTAAATAACCTAGCAACAATTTTAACTTTTGATCATGTTAGATGTTTATAGATTTTTTGTTATCCCACTCTCGTTAAATCAGGAGTGGGATATTGTTTTGGCATTGTCAATTTGTGTGTCCATATGAGTGTCATTTTCAGATTATTTCTTGAAAACCATCAACTAGATTTCACTGAAACTTTCAGTCTTTGTGACTAAGAGGAGCTGTGCATATCTTGTTGGGTACCTGGTTCAACCATTAAATTTTGAGAAATTGCTCATGTTTGTTTGGGCGTATCCTTCATTTTAATTAGACCACTGCCCTGCCCCATTTTCCGAGGTTCCCGGGTTTCAATCCTGGAAAAACCCTTTGGGGGTTTTCAGAGAAAATTTCATTTTTTTCCCCCAATCACCCAGAGGTGTACGGTTTTGGGAAACCCAGCAAAAAACCTGTTTTGCTTTCAAAATCCATTGATATGCTTTTCTATGATACCTGAACTTGATTTGCTGCATTTTCTCTTATAATATGTTTATCAGGTCAGTTGTTGATGGAAGACAGTACTTGTAAGACTTCGTCTACTTTATAACAAAATGTGAAAATGAATGGCCAACTTTGTTTATAATCATTTTCGATCATAACTGATTATATAAATTTGAAATTGATCATAAAAAATTGAGTACTATTACGATCTACTATCAATTTTATGCGATGATCACTGAAACACTATTACTAGGTCAAGCTTGCCAAGAGGGCTACTTGTACTATGAATCTCATAAAAAAATTTAATGTATTTTTTTTATTATTAATGAATTTTGTATTTTAATAATGAACAGGGTTTCATATGGAAATTCCCAATTCCACCCAAGGAAACAAAAAACAAATTTTCAGACCAAGTCCCCCACCCTTTGGGGGTGGGAAAAAGCAAGTGGGGGGGCTTGGGTAAACGGGGCCAAAGGGGCGGTTCTTAAAAAAGGGGGGTTTACAATAAAATTTAATATTAAGGGAAAAATTTGCAGATGAAACCCAAGGATTCTGATAAAAAAACATTTTTTCTCTTTGGCATAACCTTTAGGTTTTTTCCTTAAAAAAAATTTCCATCTTTTAAAAAGGGGCCCCCTGAATTTTAAAGTTTTCCCAAATTTATTTCTTTTTTTTGGGCCCATTTATTGGGCAGTTAAAAGTTTTTTTTTAAAATTTTTTAAAAAAGCCCCCTTTTAACATCCAACCCATTTTTGGGGAAAAAAGGAGGGGAGTTAGAAAAGTTTCCCGTAAAAGGGAAAAATTTCCGGGTTAATTTTTAATACATTAATTGTTTGATGTTCCCCATATTTGGCTAAAGGCAACAGGATTAGCATTTCTTAAATGGCACCTTTTCAAAATTAGCTTTTATGCAAGAAACAAAGTATCTGATGATGTAGATATTTTTTCTCATTTATTGTATGATTTGAAAGAGCACTACAAATTGCAGAGCTGTATTGTCAAAATTTGAAAAACAAAACTGCATGCTATAGTTCCTTTATAAATATAGGTTAATGCAACAAGTAATTATGAAAATTTTTGCTCTGCTTTGCAATTTGTATTTCCATTATATAATTCCATTACAACAAAAACTCTTTATTCTAGATAAAACCTTAATTAATTTGTTTTTAGTTATGGTCTAAATTATATCTGTCTATATTTTATTTTTTACTTTTTTATCAGACTTATTACACACCCAACCCATTGTCAAAACAAGAAGAAAACCAAACCCAAAGTTTTAACAAACCCAAGGAAAAATCAGGTTTTCCCAAATTTTTTGACAAATTTAAAACCTTTTTTTAGTTTAGCTTTTTTGTTAAGTAAAAGGAAATTTTCCCTTACCCATTTAATTGAATAAAGGGGGGGGGGAAAATATTTTTTGTTTGGTTTTTTAACAACCCAAATTTCCCAACCGGGGTATAAAGTCACAAAAATTGTTTTAATTCTTAAATTTTTTTTGGGGGTTTTCCCAATAAAATATGAGGTTTTTTTTCAGTTTTTTTTTAAATGGTGGTTTTTAACAGAACTTTATTAAAAAAGTACTTTAGCTTTAAAATTTTGTAGGGGAATTTTTGGGGTTTTAGGCTCGGGAAAAAACTTCCCCCCTCGGTGATATTTTCTTTTATATTTTTAATCTGTTTTCAGACAATTTTTCACCCTTTTTTCAGTAAATAATGGTTAAAAATGAAAAGAAAAACAATTTAGAAACTATTATTTTTAACATTTTCCTAACCATGAATTTAATTATGCCCCAGGTAAAAAATTTATGAATTTTTTATATAAAAAAGGTTTAAATTAAAAGAAATTTTTCCTAAAATATTTTCAGTTAGGGGGTTTTGAAGGGTTTACCAAAAATTTAAATTGTTTTTTTAATATGCCTTTTTTTGGGAAAAAAACAGCCACTTATTTTATAAAAAACAACCCATTTTCCACTTAAGAAAACAAAAAAGTTTTCAAAATAATTTTTTTTTCAAAAAAGATCGGGGGGATGTCCCCATGTCCCAGGAAAGAGAAAAGAAAAGGTTTGATTCTACCATGGCCCTTGGGTTCCTAAAGATTTTCCCCCAAAAGTCGGGGAAATTTTTTTTGTCTTAAAGCATGCATAAAAACTATTAAAAAAAAATCAAAAAATTTTTTTTTAAGGATTTTTAACCTGGCCCACAGGGAGTGATTTTATGTTAGAGCATAAATTCTTTTAAAAAATTTGATGATCAAAAAATATTTTTTGGAAAAATTTTATTTCTTTGAATAAATTTTAATAGTTTTTCGGGGTTGAAAAAAATTTGGAAAAAACCTTAAAACTAAGGTTTAAAATTTAAAAAGGGTGCCCTTAGAAAAAAACCAAAATTGACTGAAATATTAGAAGGAAAACCTTTTTTCCAAATTTCAAAATAAGAATTTTTAAAAGGGTTCCCACCACTGTTTAAAAAATACATAGCTTTTTTTAATGAAAAAATTTTTTTTTTACATTTCTAAGAAGTTTGGGGAAAATTTTAAAATAAATTTTTTTACACATCCATCTTATTCCCTTTTGGGGAAAAAATTTTTTACACAGGGTATAAAATGTAAGGAAAAAGTTTTAAACATTTTTACTTTTTTTAAAAAAAATTAAAAAGACCCGCGGTGTATCCCAAATAAAAAGGCCCCTTCAAATTATATGGGTTTTTAAAAATATCCCAAAAAATGATTTTTCCCCTTAAAACCTAAAGAAATTTGGCAATGTTATATCAAATAAAAATTTTTTGGAAAATTAAAGCTTTTTAAATTATTTTTTAAAATTTTAAAAGTTTGGTTTCCCGTTTAAAAAAAAGGTAAAAGGGCCAAAAAGGGGTCTTTGCAAACTGTTTTGGGGGATTTCTGTCTGTCTTATGGAAATCCCCCAAACAGTTTTCTGTTCATTTCCTTTGCAGAGTTGCAGTTTATTTTGGATTTGGAAATTTTGGGTTTTAAAAGATTTACCCAAAAAAAAAAAATTTGGGGTTTTGGGGGGTCCAAATAAAAGAAATTTATTTTGGATGGGT